ACCATGGAAAATCGGCCCCAGCAGCACCGAGGCAATCGACACTGAGAAGGCAAGGCGGCAAGACGTCATTGCTACGGCAATGATCCATCTTAACCACGAATGCCGGAGACAACTCACGCACCGTCTTGCATCGCAAACATCAAGTGCAACACAACTTACACCAACAGACCACACGGTTGGAATCGCTCCAAGCATATAGTCCACCACCGCAAGTTGAACGCCATGACACTCGCATCAATAAGTGCGAAAGGGAAAAGACCGAAATAAACCCACTAGTCGCATCGCCAACGAGAGGAGACCGAAACCACATCGAGTAGTGCAACTACTCGTGCCACGCCGTTGCAACCGACCGAAACCGACTAGTGCATACGGCGACCATGCCGAAACCCAAGCAGCGGAAGGGACCAACGTCGTGGACCGGAGAACCACGACCGAAAACCGAAACCCACATAGAGCAGTACAACTGCTCGTGCCACGCCATTGCAACCGACCGAAACCGACTAGTGCAAATGGCGACCTTACCGAAACCCAAGCAACGGAGAGACCAACGCCGTGGACCGGAGAGCCACGCAAAGAAACCGAAACCCACATCGAGTAGTACAACTACTCATGCCGCGCCGTTGCAACCGACCGAAACCGACTAGTGCAAAAGGCGACCATACCGAAACCCAAGCAGCGGAAGGGACCAACGCCGTGGACCGGAGAACCACGACCGAAAACCGAAACCCACATAGAGCAGTATAACTGCTCGTGCCACGCCATTGCAACCGACCGAAACCGACTAGTGCAAATGGAGACCTTACCGAAACCCAAGCAACGGAGAGACCAACGCCGTGGACCGGAGAGCCACGCAAAGAAACCGAAACCCACATCGTGTAGTGCAACTACTCATGCCGCACCATTGCAACCGACCGAAACCGACTAGTGCAAAAGGCGACCATACCGAAACCCAAGCAGCGGAAGGGACCAACGCCGTGGACCGGAGAACCACGACCGAAAACCGAAACCCACATCGAGCAGTACAACTACTCATGCCACGCCATTGCAACCGGCCAAAACCGACTAGTTCAAACGGCGACCGACTAGTGCAAAAGGCGACCAAACGGCGAAACCCAAGCAACGGAGAGACCAACGCCGTGGACCGGAGGGCCACGCAAGGAAACCGAAACCCACATTGAGTAGCGCTACTACTCATGCCACGCCATTGCAAACAACCGAAACCGGCTAGCGCAAACGGCGACCATGCCGAAACCCATGCAGCGGAAAGACCAACGCCGTGGACCGGAGAACCACGGCCGAAAACCGAAACCCACATTGAGTAGTGCCCTATGCCGCGGGGCAACTACTCGTGCCCACCCAACCTGGGCACCGCGGCATTCCAACCAACCGAACCGAAGGAGAGGATAACCAACCCACCGAAACCCACGCGGCGAAAATATCCAACTCCGTGGCATGGGAACCCACGCGGAACCCACGCTGAGAAGCGCCCCATGCCGCGGCGCAACTCTGCCCGTGCCCACCCGTCGAGGAGCACTCCCCCCCTATAGTAGATAAAAAAACATATACACTGAATCTCGGAGTAGCGACATTTTGGCCCGAAAAGGTATAAATTTTCATTTCAATTTCTTTTTCCTTTATTTTTTGCTGAAAAATGCCTAATTGTACACAAAACATTGAAAAATCAATATGTAAATGAGGATTAAACTTAAACTTAATTAAAAAAGTAATAAAATTAATTAATTAATA